AGGAAGTGTAGGGAAGTTAGTTTCCCAAGCAATGAGTCTTGACCACTGGGAAGTGGGAAATGGGAGAGAGCTGAGCGGATACATTCCCTCTCCTTCCTCCCCTTCACAGATCCGCTCTTAGCTGTGGTTTCTTCTGTGGCCCCTCTGGAAAAATCTGTCTGCCAAGCAAACAAGCTTCAGCTTCCTGCTGTGAATGAGTGGGATCAGTGGCCAGCATGGAAATGCATCACGTTGCTTTACATCTTTTCTCACCTCTTTTCTCTTTTTTTTCCCACATCCTCACCTCCATAGGATTTTACCTCCTAAATAAAGGGTCAGCACATTAATCTTTGTCTCAGTCTCTGTTTTCTAGATGAACCAGGCTAAATAAGTAGAACCAAGGAAAGGAAACTTTGTTTACGGTTGGAGGAGGTCCATAGTGTCAGGCCTCTGGGTGCTTATCAAGAAGGTTGTAAGATTGTAGAAAAAACTAAAAAGGAAGGCCCTAAAGGCGTGTTTCCCTGACTTAACACTTCTGTTGAGGCAAGCCTCTACAATTGGAGATAAAAAAGGGAATGTGGCCTATTCAAATGTCACAGTGACACAGAGAATGTCAAGACAGAAGGAATTCAGAACTTAAGGGGAGAAATTCCATAAAGCCTTCTTTCCTATAAGCTACAGTCTAGTTTTTCATCCATCCACCCATCCATCCATCCATCCATCCTCTACTGAGCACCTCCTATGTGTCGGGTACCACACTAGGTGCTAGGAAATAGCAGTGGAGGGAGATAATGATTCTGGTCCTCATGGAGCCCACATTTTGCAGGGAAGACAGAAAGGACACATATAAATGAAAAGTGCAGGATTAAAGGGGAGAATTTTTTTAGGAGCTTTTGGTGTCAAGAACCAGATGGTCTCCTATTACTACAAGCATATGAATGGAAATGAGCAAGGCAGAAATCTCAAAAGGCTGCCAGGTCTCATGGGAATCCAGATAAAAGCATACAATTCAGCTTCCCTGCATGTGTGGAAACTGGATCTTGTTGGGTTTCTGAATGACTAGATTGTAGGCAGGAACTGTAAGGCCCTTCAGATCCAGTGCAGTGATCCCAGCTCTATTATTTCCATGAATAAGCTACTATAACAAACAGACCCCAAAATACAGGGATTAATCAAGTTAGACATTTCCTCCTTTCTCACATTCTTGCCCATAGGTAGGAGTTGGTCCAAGGCGATGAGGCAGCTCTGCTCCCGGAAGCTGAATGGGGACCCAGGTTCCTTCTGTGTTGTTGCTCTGCCATACTGGGGTGGGTACTGTCTGTATCTACACAGTCCAAGCTGGCTCTCCAGCACTGCATCATCATTCGATCCTGTGAGAAGGGAGGAAATGGAGGAATTGAGTGGGCAAGTTGCTGAAGTGACACACTTCACTTCCACTTGTTCTGTTGACAAGAACTAGTCACATGACCACTCCTACTGCCAGGGAGGCATGGAAACAGTCTCTAGCTGGGCTGAAACTCCTGTTACTAAAAGGAAGAAAGGGAGAATAGGTACTGGATAAGATGGCCAGAGTTAGCACATAATAATCCCAGTTAACACTGAATTTCAGATAAACAACAATTTTTAGTATAAGTATGTCCCATTTAGACATATTCATTGTTTATCTGAAAATTATTTGTCAGGTATCCTCAATTCAAAGCTAACCGTGTGGGGCTTCCCTGTTGGCACAGTGGTTGAGAGTCCGCCTGCCGATGCAGGGGGCGCGGGTTCGTGCCCTGGTCCGGGAAGATCCCACATGCCGCGGAGCGGCTGGGCCCGTGAGCCATGGCCGCTGAGCCTGCGGGTCCGGAGCCTGTGCTCCGCAACGGGAGAGGCCACAACAGTGAGAGGCCCGCGTACCGCAAAAAAACAAACAAAGCTAACCGTGTGTCCTATATTTTCTGTGTCAACCCTAATAATGGGGCACAAAGAGCATTGTCACTTTTGTCACTGATATTGTCTTTTTGCATTGGTTACAAGTGAGCCATTAAGGCACCCAGGTTCAAGGGGAGGGATTAGAACACCTCTTGATGAGGAGGGAGTGACAAGGTCACACTGCAGAAGAGTGTGTGGGATGGAAGTTATGACTGTGGCCATCTTCGGAAAACACAATTCGCCTTACATGTTTTATCTCATTTGAGCAAATCAAATGTCACCCCTCTTAAACACTAGTTTCATCTTTCTCTTGCACCAAGTCTGTTTAAGGGCACCTGACCCACCCTGGGCTCTCTCCCAGAAATCTGAAATTGGAAATAGAAAGGAAGGAAGTGGGAGGAGACCTGGAACAAAGTGTGTGCTCTTTAATGGCAGTGCTCTGGAGAAAACGTTCATTAGCTGCTATTGAATTCTCAAAACTCACCCTTGGTTTCTTCCTTTTATAAATTTTAATTGTTCAACTCTTCCTTTGATGCCATAAAATACCTCTAGCATCCTTTCATTAACGCCTTCTTCTCTCATTCGGTTTTTTTTGTTTTTTTTTTTTGTTTACACTAACTATAGGACACTTCTGTTAATTGCAATCAAAATTCTGCAAGCAAGACATTGCACACAGCCAAATTTAACCTTGAAAGAGGTATAAAAGACGGACACTCTTCGGGGAATATTTGTCATTTCTCCTGAGGCATCTATAAAAGACATCACATTTGTCAGCAACAGGACTGAATATGCCACCATGGTTTATATTTTACTGTTGTTGTCATTGCTGTTTAAAGAAACTATCCACCGTCTGTGTTACCAATAAATAAGAGGTATAGATTTATGGTGACAGCTATCACTCCAGTATTAGAAAGGTAGAATTTGAATACATTTCCACTATTAGACTGGCCAAGAAAAAAACTGACCAGTGGAAACTTTATTTACTTTTCTCTCCAATCTGATAAAGAAGGGGGGAAAAAAGGCAGTGGGGAGCAAGAAAAACAGAGAGAGGATATACAGTCCAGGCAGCCTACAAACTGAAGAATCATATTGGGATATAGAAGCATCAAAAATGAGAAAATGCTAAGGAGATACTTCCAGGTAAAGGGTCCTGATATTCAGGCTTAGCTGGGAGGTTTAAAAGATAAACTAATAGGAGAAGTTTTGATAAGAAAGTCTTAGAGGAACACTTCTTGATACCTGAGAGGTATGATTCAGTGCAATGAGAAAAACAAGAGTGGTTGTTGAGCCTTACCTCTGGGGGAGTTGAAAGAAAAGAGCAAATTACTTGTATTCATTTGGGATGGGCCATGTGAGCTCATCAGATCCTTCAGAGCCCTATGAATCATCCTTGGGGTTTCTTAAGGTTTTACGCCCCTAATCATTTAAGCTGCTCTTTTCATGTGTGTCGTGACCAGCACAGTGCCTGCTCTCTGTGATCTTCCTTCTCTGCTCCCCTCCAGCTCCCTGGAGGGGATGGCTGCTGGAAACCATTATAATGACTTATAATGTTCTTGAAGCACAGACCACAAGTTTCTGGATGCCGGGCACCCTTCAGAGAAACTATTAAAGAATCACAACATGCTCAAAAGTGTGACGGACTTAACAATCTGTCACCCAAAACGTGCTGATCATGTGGAACAGTAGCAATCAGATTCATGGCTAACTCCTGTGAAATAGAAACGTGACACTTCAGTGGCTGCCAGGTGGTGCTTAAATAAACTGGGACACTTCACCTTGAAAGCTTTCAGTAAGTGCTGGGAAGCTGTGTCCTGTAAAAACAGAAATAAATGATTTTAAAAGCCCTGGCCTCGACATAAGAGTAGTTTGGTCCCGTGCTGTACAATGTCAGTCTAGTGCTGTTGAGCACTTGGATTGAGGCTAGTGTGATGGAGGAACTGAAGTTATAATTTTAATTATATTTTATTAGTTTCAATTTTTAAAATCAAGGTGAAATTCACATAACATAAAATTAAACATTTTAAAATGAACAATTCCATGGCATTTGGTACATTCACAATGCTGTGCAACCACCACCTCTACTCAGTTCCAGAACATTTTTATCACCCCAGAAAAGACCCCGTACTCATTAAGCAATTACTCCTCACTCCTCTTCCCCTAGCCCCTGGCAACCACCAATCTATGTTCTGTCTCTATGGATTTACCTATTGTGGACATTTCATATAAACAGAATCATAAAATATGTGACCTTCTGTGTCTGGCTTCTTTTACTTAGCATAATGCTATTAATTTCTATGTTAAATTTTAAAACTGATAAACTTGATTCCATTATTGGAAAAACTTTTAAGTATTTTTGGAATTCCTTGGGTATGTGAATCTACTTTTTTTTTTAAACATCTTTATTGGAGTATAATTGCTTTACAATGGTGTGTTAGTTTCTGCTTTACAACAAAGTGAATCAGTTATACATATACATATGTTCCCATATCTCTACCCTCTTGCGTCTCCCTCCCTCCCACCCTCCCTATCCCACCCCTCTAGGTGGTCACAAAGCACCGAGCTGATCTCCCTGTGCCATGCGGCTGCTTCCCACTAGCTATCAATTTTATGTTTGGTAGTGTATATATGTCCATGCCACTCTCTCACTTTGTCCCAGCTTACCCTTCCCCCTCCCCATATCCTCAAGTCCATTCTCTAGTAGGTCTGTGTCTTTATTCCCATTGTACCCCTAGGTTCTTCATGACTTTTTTTTTTTTTTTTTTGGCATTTTTCACAGAAGTAGAACAAAAAATTTCACAATTTGTATGGAAATACAAAAGACCCCAAATAGCCAAAGCAATCTTGAGAACGATAAATGGAGCTGGAGGAATCAGGCTCCCTGACTTCAGACTATACTACAAAGCTACAGTAATCAAGACAGTATGGTACTGGCACAGAAACAGAAATATAGATCAATGGAACAGGATAGAAAGCCCAGAGATAAACCCACACGCATATGGTCACCTTATCTTTGATAAAGGAGGCAAGAATATACAGTGGAGAAAAGACAGCCTCTTCAATAAGTGGTGCTGGGAAAACTGGACAGGTACATGTAAAAGTATGAGATTAGATCACTCCCTAACACCATACACAAAAATAAGCTCAAAATGGATTAAAGACCTAAATGTAAGGCCAGAAACTATCAAACTCTTAGAGGAAAACATAGGCAGAACACTCTATGACATAAATCACAGCAAGATCCTTCTTGACCCATCTCCTAGAGTAATGGAGATAAAAACAAAAATAAACAAATGGGACCTAATGAAACTTCAAAGCTTTTGCACAGCAAAGGAAACCATAAACAAGACCAAAAGACAGCCCTCAGAATGGGAGAAAATATTTGCAAATGAATCAACTGACAAAGGATTAATCTCTAAAATTTACAGGCAGCTCATGCAGCTCAATACCAAAAAAATAAACAACCCAATCCAAAAATGGGCAGAAGACCTAAATAGACATTTCTCCAAAGAAGATATACAGACTGCCAACAAACACATGAAAGAATGCTCAACATCATTAATCATTAGAGAAATGCAAATCAAAACTACAATGAGATATCACCTCACACCAGTTAGAATGGCTATCATCAAAAAATCTAGAAACAATAAATGCTGGAGAGGGTGTGGAGAAAAGGGAACACTCTTGCACTGCTGGTGGGAATGTAAATTGATACAGCCACTATGGAGAACAGTATGGAGGTTCCTTAAAAAACTACAAATAGAACTACCATACGACCCAGCAATCCCACTACTGGGCATATACCCTGAGAAAACCATAATTCAAAAAGAGTCATGTACCAATATGTTCATTGCAGCTCTATTTACAATAGCCAGGAGATGGAAGCAACCTAAGTGTTCATCATCGGATGAATGGATAAAGAAGATGTGGCACATATTTACAATGGAATATTACACAGCCATAAAAAGAAATGAAATTGAGTTATTTGTAGTGAGGTGGATGTAGAGTCTGTCATACAGAGTGAAGTAAGTCAGAAAGAGAAAAACAAATACCGTATGCTAACACATATATATGGAATCTAAGGCAAAAAAAAAAAAAGGTCGTGAATCTACTTTTTCAAGTCTAAATTTTTGAAATCTAAATACAAAGCAATAATTTCCAATCAAATTTATCATCTCGGGAGTTCCCCGGTAGTCCAGTGGTTAGGACTTGGCACTTTCACTGCCGGGACCCAAGTTCAATCCTTGGTTGGGGAACCAAGATGCCGCAAGCTGCACGGCACGGACAACAAATTTATCATCTCAATTGAGATATGCTGTAAGTATAAAATAAGAAAGAATGTAAAAGATCTAATTTATCTTTTTTTAAATTTATTTATTTATTTATTTATTTATTTATTGGCTGCGTTGGGTCTTTGTTGCTGCGCGTGGGCTTTCTCTAGTTGTGGTGAGCGGGGGCTACTCTTCATTGCAGTGTGCGGGCTTCTCATTGCGGTGTCTTGTCTTTATTGTGGAGCACGGGCTCTGGGTGCCCAGGCCTCAGTAGTTGTGGCATGCGGGCCCAGCAGCTATGGCTCGCGGGCTCCAGAGAGCAGGCTCAGCAGCTGTGGCACACAGGCCCAGTTGCTCTGCAGCATGTGGGATCCTCCCAGACCAGGGATTGAACCCGTGTCCCCTGCATTGGCAGGCGGATTCTTAACCACTGCACCACCAGGGAAGCCCTCTTTTTTAAAAAATATTGATTGCATGTTGAAATGATACTATTTTGGAAAACTAAGTTTAATGAAATGTATTACTAAAATTAATTTCAACAGTTTCTTTTTATTCTTTTCATTGTGGGTACTAGAAAATGGAAAATTATGTGGTGGGGAAAAAAATTATGCATGTGACTCACATTATATTTCTATTGGACAGTGTTGGTCTAGTCAAAAGATCTAACTCGGGCTTCCCTGGTGGCGCAGTGGTTGAGAGTCCGCCTGCTGATGCGGGGGACACGGGTTCGTGCCCCGGTCCGGGAAGATCCCACATGCCGCGGAGCGGCTGGGCCCGTGAGCCATGGCCGCTGAGCCTGTGCGTCCGGAGCCTGTGCTCTGCAGTGGGAGAGGCCACAACAGTGAGAGGCCCGCGTACCACAAAAAAAAAAAAAATCTAACTCAATCTAGATACTAATTCAAAAAAATTTTTGAGCACCTACTGTGAACTTTTTTTTTTTTTTTGCCATGCCACATGGCCTGCAGGATCCTAGTTCTCTGACCAGGGACTGAACCCATGCCCCCTGCAGTGGAAGCACAGAGTCCCAACCATTGGACTGCTAGGGAATTCCCTACCATGAACTTTTTTTTTTTTTTTTTGCTATCATGTGAAAAAGTTGGTTAGAAATAATGTTTGCCAATTTTATTGACCTTTCCTTAGACTTTACCCTGGACCAGAAATTGGTTATGCGTTAAGCTGGGGAGTTTGATGAACTTTCCTCCTCTCCTGCCAGTTACTGATGTTCATACAGATCAGAATCACTAGGAAATGTTTTATGATACAATCATTAAAATATTTTAAATGAGGGAAAATAAGGGATGTTTGCTGGCCTCTCTGCTTTTTAACTCATACTTAATGATATACTCTCAGTTTTGGATGAAACAAAAGTATGCATCTTTCTGGTATTGAGAACAGAAAATAAGCACTTGTTTATGTACATTCACTCATCAACATATTGGATGGATATTGTGTACACTATGATTGGTGTTGAGTATTTAGCAGCAAAAAACCAAACAAAGTACCTGTCCTCAGGAAGCTTACATTCCAGTGAAAGGAGACAGAAAACCAATGAATAAGATAATCATAGATTCTGACAAGTTCTATGGAAAAAAATTAATATAATGATTTGGTAAAGAGTAACTTTATCAAATGGTGGGGAGCGTGTGTGTGTGTGTCTCTAATTTAGGTCAGGTAACTGGGCAATCTCTTTGAGAAGATGACATTTGAGCAGACACTTGAAGAAAAAGTATTCAGCCATAGGAAGAGCCATGGGAAGGGCAGTCCAGGCAGAAGGCACAACAGACGCAAAGGCCTTGAGTTGGGGGAGAGTTTGAAGAATAGAAAGGAAGTCATATGACTAGGATGTGGTGAGCAAAAGGGAAAGGGATAGGAGATGGGATTGGCAAGCAGGAGCCAACAGCAGCCAGTAGGTCATGTTAAGAAGTCTAAATTTTATTTTAAGGTAATGGGGAGCCACTGAAGGTTTTAGAGCACAAGAGTAACCAGATGCTTTTTTTTTTTCTTTCACACAGATGATCCAGTAGTAGCTTCAACGGACAGCTGACCCTGTTCTATAATTGCCAGAAAGAACTAAGAACTGATTGGTTTGGGTAGGTGCCCTCCAATATTCAATAGTATTTTAGTTAATAATTCCATATACCAAGACACCTTGCATGTACCCTGTTTGCACCAGGGGCCCAAGAACCCCCAGGAGATAACTCATCAAAAGGAAAGACAGATCAGTCAAATAAATAAGTCAGACTCAAAATAAGGTTAATATTTGGCTAGAGTTTGGATGGGTGATTTCTGAGGAGTGTGGTGTACCTGTCACTCAGATTAGTTCTCACGACCAGTCCTTATGGACTTACCATGCCTGAGTTTTATGTGGCTATGGCTGTAAGTAAAAACTAAGGGGGTTGTTTAATGAAAACCTCTTCTTGGTCCCCAAAGCAATGTTGGTCTAGCATCTCATCCACACGGTGGAACACAGAGTGGCTGGGAGGCATTCCCCTCGACTGAACATCACGATTGAACATCAAACTGCTTTGGCACCTGGCGCCTTGTGTTAGTTAGTACCCGATAGGAGGCAGCAGTGCCTGGTAGGAAAGGTGATACCCAGTGATACAAGGTGGAGATGACTGTTGGAATAAAGTGGAAATCAGTCAAGGTAGTCGGTCATAAGCAGCAGAAATAGCAGCATGCCTGGTTGATACAGGGGTGCCCAGAATAGGAGAAAAAGAGGAAAAATCCACAAACATCGTAGCTGACTAGACTTGTTTCTGACCATATGTGACTCCCTCCTGGGCGCCCCCAGAAATCCTGATAGGGAGTGAACTTTGCAGGAGCCTGGAGTTCTACAATAAATAGCAGATGAGGGTACGGTGAGCTGTTTTGGGCTGGGTTCCCCAAGAAGCTCATTCTGAGACAAGGATTCAAGGGCAGGTAGTTTATTTGGGCGACGATCCCAGGAAACAACAGGATGGGGAGAGGGAAAGGGCGACACAGAAAGGAAGACAACCAATAAAGGGCATGTAGCAAGCAAGTGACTGCTACAGGCAAGTGGAGCTCAGCATCCCCAGAGGGCACTGGGATACTGCAGATAACAGGCCTCACATTATCTCAGTGGAAGGAGAGGAAGCTGGGAGATTCCTTTACCAACACCCATCCATCACTGGGTGGGGCTGTTTCTAGGGACACAAACTCCTTGAAACTTCCAGGCCATCCTGCTTGCTGGCCGGGTGTGCTTCCACAGCCAGAACAAAGCCCTCACTCAGAGTCACAAGTGTAGCAATGAGCATCCTTTGGTGTATAGAGAGGAGTGTTGAGGGACTCTGGGTAGGGCCCCAGCTGCATCTACTACACAAGAGACTACACCAGGCTACAAGTATAGAGGAATTTATCATATAGTCTCATTTCTGGCCCAATTTCAGTTCCCATTCTTATTTTGTTTTTCTTTTTCTCCCTTCTCTCCTACTTACAATTTATGCAATCTGTTTTATGTATCCTTGTAAGCTTTTTTTTTGGAACACAGCAGCACATAAATAAATAAACACTAGCATGGTTTAACATTTTCCCTTTATTTATTGACCATTTTTCCCTTCTCTGAACTTCTTGGACCAGAGCCTCATTTACCTGCATCTAGCTCTGTGCTGGGCACATCAGAGGCATTTTATCATTGTTCTGTAGACCGGCACAAAGATATACAGTTGGTTTATAAACTGACTCTGTGACCAGAAGCAGATACAGAGGCACAGGACTCTCTGGCCCATTCTTTCTTAAACCCAGTGCTTAGAACAGTGCCTGCACATAGCAAGTGCTCAGTAAATATCTGTTAAATGAAAGAACGAGACTTGGAGGACCTATATCCATAAGGGTTCCCATAAATCACCATTTAGAAATCCATCAACATACTGGAATTGTGTGCTTTGTAAGGTCAAAGTTGCCCTGGAAACCACTATCATGTGGATGTGCTTATTTTCATGAGCACAAGCTGGAAGGCAGGGACTAAAGATAGATCTAGAGATGGTGTTTTAAAGTGTATACCCAGCAGGCTCCATGCATCTCAGAACACCCAGTGCTAACTCAAATGCAGTCTGTTTATGAATGTAATCTTTGCTTGTAGGTGTCCTGGCAAACTGTTCTCAATAACATCCCTATTGAGAAACTGGGTTCCTCAGGAATCTCAGATGCTAGAAATTGAGTGACTGCTTTACATCCCATGAATCAGAAAGAAATTGTTGTTTAAGTGGTGGGTCACATGCATGTAGGTATCTGGGTTTTTGGTTTTGTTTTGTTTTGTTTTGTTTTTTGCTGTAACATTTTTTCCCTTAAGAGGCAAGCACAGTAGTTTTATTTAATAAAACACTAACTAGAAATTTTTTTTTTGGCTGCATTGCACAGCGTATGGGATATTAATTCCATGACCAGGGACTGAACTCGGGCTCTCAGCGGTGAGAGCATGGCGTCCTAACCACTGGACCACCCGGGAATTCCATAAAACACTAACTAGAAATTAAAAAGTTTAGCCTTTGAAAAACAAATTTTTCCATTTAATAAATCAGCATTACCCATAAGTAGGTTACTTCTAGGAAGCTCCATTTTTATGTAGATCTTAGCAAAGAAGGAGAGAGAAATAGTTTGGCACTTCTGCTATTTGTGTTTAAATTAAGACAAAATTTACATAATATAAAATTCATCCTTTTAAAGTGAACAATTCAGTGGTTTTTAGTATATTCACGATGTTATGCAAACAACACCACTATCTAATTCCAGAACTGTTTCATCACCCCCAAAAGAACCCTATACCCATTAGCAGTCATTTCCTATCCCCCCCTCTTCCCAGCTCCTGGCAACCGCTAGTCTATGTGGATTTGCCTATTCTAGATATTTCACATAAATCGAATCATACCATATGTGACCTTTCCTTTCTGGCTTCTTTCACTTACCAGGATGATTTTAAGTTTCATCCATATTGTAGCATGTATCAGTACTTCCTTTTTTATGGC